GTGCGGGAACCACCTGCGGGCCGGCAGGACCCGCACCCGGGCGGGCGGGGCCTGGCTCCGGTGCCTTCAAACAGAGCTGCGGGCAGGGTGAACGCAACCCGCTCCGGCCGTAGCTTCCTCCTCGGTAACCGCGCCCCACGGGCGGGTTTTCGAGAGGGGAGGGGACTCTACACCCAGATGGCTCTTCAGTGGGCTTTTCACACGTGGGGTGCCCTCCAGAGCAGACCCGATGGAGTTAGCGTCCACTGGGATTTGTCAGACACCCTCTGCTGATACCCTCTGGTCTGATTTATTGTGTTAGAAGGTTTCAAGGTCACATCGAGATTCTGGTGGAAGTAAATTAAACCCATGACTCATGACATTATATGCTTGGTCAAACATTCTTTTTCTGTCTTGTTGTAGCCCCTGTAACTAATAAGAAGAGATCAGCGAACCCTTGACAAATGATCTGAGAAAAAGGGTGAGGTATGAAAAGACATCATGTGGAGAAACAAATTACAACCTGTTTCCCCTGGTTTGGGACCAGGGTGTTTGGGGAGCACTGCTGGAAGGTCATACACCTCCCAGGCTTGCTAGATATTTTCAGAAGGCTGAAAATTGAGCAGAACTTTCATTTCTTCCATTGTAACTCAGCTGGACGAAATACTGAAAATACAGTGCATGGTGAAACCTTATATTAGCATGAAGAAGGAATAGTTGACTTACTAAGGGTTTTGTAGCGTGACTTCATGAGTAACCAGAGCTGTGTGTTAGTAAAATGCGACTTTATAACTCTTAATATTAAAAAAGGAAAACAGAAAGAAATTGCATTCTGGAGCTAAGCGTTTTGAAAACACTGCTCCATGCTTACTTCTGTGTCACTCTTCCACTCTTTGCCTTGCTATGCACAGGCAGCAATCCATGTTCCTAAGGAAAAATCATCACTTAAAGCTCTTAGTCCTGAATGTGGACTAAGATACTAGTGCTGCAGGCTGATAGCTTTGGAAGAGCCACTGTGTGAAGTAGGGATGGGCAAATGGAAAAACAAATGGTAACTCTGAATCAGAAATATGACAGTCATTTGCACTTGAAGGCAGAGAATCTGAGCTGTGCAAGCTCTGGTCTTGCAGAGGTATATCCATGCTCATGGAGAGAAGAGCTAAGCGTGTACACACA